AAAAAGAACGTTCATACAGTTTAAACAGTGATAATCGTGTTCAGCACGAATGCGTTCAAAGAAAATATCTGTACGTCACAAACCTCAAACAGGCCCTGAGCAAAATTTCGACTAGAAGTGCCAACCGGATGCTATAACCGTATGACGATGAACTACCCTACTGCTTATCTTGCGACCGCGTTTGACAAAACGAGTTATGGAGCATATCAGAAACATAACATAAAAGGAATAACAGGACACTGAGGATCGGAGAGTAATTCATTAAAGCAGCTCCGAATCAACAATCCAGGCAAACGAACACAGCAAATGCAAACAAAAAATCATTCCATGCAATGGCGACAGAAACGTACTGTGGACATGGCCGCGTTCAGAAACGCTTCGGTGGACCCATTCCAGGCGAGAAGCAGAACATAGAAAGAAAAGAGGCGTAACAATGAGACCGCTGTTTTGTTCTCCGCCAAACTGGGACCAGTATAGAGATAGAGCAGGAGGCAAGAGTTTGCCTGAGCAAAAGTGACCCCAATCCATCCGACCAAACTGCACGTACGCAACACGGTGCGTAACAGTCGCAAAACGTCCTTTAAAAGGCTCTGTGTTGAGAAATGGGAAAGGTAAAACAGGAAATATAAAGGTGAGAATGGAACAGTATACATTTTAAACGAGGATGTGTTTGTATGTGTCCATGCTTGCAATTTTATCGCAGGCATGCAGTGCAAGGACATGCACGCCGACAGCCCAGCTCGTGATGTCACGTAACTGGCGCGACCGTTCAGCTTGCGCCAGCGTAAATGATTCTTTTGATCGATCGATAGGAAGACTAATTAGTAATCAATACGGCCAACATTCATTCACACTAAAAACCATGCCAAGGCAGTTGACTAAGTGCCCCAAGATGAAAAAAACAACGGCCACGAGGAACAATACACTAGTAGGATTACTAAAAAGGAACAGTCAACTTCCGAAGCCCCAGTGAAAATATCCACGTAATCTTTACCTTCAACTTTATTGCGAGTTTGTTTTATATCTGTTCATCTGTTGATTCATCAAGAATTAAACATTGTTTAATTGATAACCCATGGTTAGGGAGGGACACTGAGTAATATGGCTGAATGTCGTAAATAAAGGCGCTCTTGCATCTACTCAATGTTCTTGCGGTCGTAGTCTCTATTTTCACCTAGGCAATGAATTGAACATTACAATCTTCTTTAATTCCTTCATCCAACTGGGAAGCCAAGAAACGGCAACCAAAACCACTGCAAAAAAAGGTATGGTTAATGACAGTGAAGACTGAAACTATATAGTGAAGTTCGGTGTATACAGACCAAATGAAGCATGAACTGAAAAGATACGGGGCACTGAACAACGGTTTCAACCTGATTAGGTTTCATCAGTATCAACATTCTCTGTATAACTGAAACAAATCCTCCATTAACATCAGGTTATTTACTGTCTTGGAGGAACAGAAATATTTAGATCCCGAGCAGGCGAGCACGAGGACAAACATTGTGAGAGTAGCTCTTATTGTGCACTCACCCTGATCCCGTACGCATAAAATCAAGAAAAAACTTGACGATAAACATGTAGAGGATGACGCAATCGAAATGACTTTTGTGGGACGTGATACCAGTGTGTAATTGTAAGTGAATCGTAAAACGGTAGAAAAAAATTATACGTTTCTTTGTCGATTACTTGGATACCAGTTTCCATTGTATAGAAACTTGACCTATCATTGGGTCATCAGTTAAACGAAAGATTGAATATAACGTGTACGCTGAAAACCCTTAGGCGACACAACTTATTATCATCAATCTGAACGAGATAAAATAGACAGCAGCTGCTCCCTTAACAACTTCAAGCATAGCGACCAAATGCATATTCAGTGGTATAACAATAAGCTACAAGTCTATCTCTAACCGAGGTCGTGCTGTCACTTACCAGATCTTGTTTATCCTTTTCCATGTCCCGAACTAGGCATTGATTAAAGACAAAATGACAACTCTCCTCCATCGGTGAGAATAGAAGACGAGCAGCGGTTGAACCGAGATTATTGACAAGATCGTATATGCCTAAAATAAGCACGAATGAAGAGAGTGGACCGACAGAGAAAGGAAGTTGTGATATGAATGGACTGAACCAGATGCAAATAAGTTCGAAGATAGTAATGGTCGTAATGCAATCAATGGATGTGGTAACTTTCAATAAGCTTGCACGGATGGGTTGCGCTATGCAAAATATAGAGTACGCGTTAGACGGGTAGGAAGCAAGAGCGTGTATTGTCTGTGCCCTGATGAGGCACACAGACATTAGTTTAGCACATTCAAAATTTCACTCCAATTTGCTCCAACTTCTGCTGAGCAATTCACAGTGTTGATTATAAACTCAAACATTACTATTTACAACTAACTATGAAAAATATTCCGTGACGTGCCCTTGTTGCCACGGAATGGATATGGTAATTTAGTACAGAACAGGAAACAACTGATTGACCACTCACCTTGATCGGTAAAACTGATCAGATGAAATCCACTGATCAGGTATCGTTCACCTGAAACGCACCAGAGAGCGTAACATTACAGAGATTGTGTGTGAGAGAGACAGAGAGAGTTTTCAAACAGTAATCGCAGTGGTTCAATGGCAAAGGAACACCGAATACATGCAATTTGCGCGTGGAACCCAAACACGAAACGAACAGAAAAATTAACTTAGAGAGATAATGGGGCATAAAATTGCAACATTACCCGGTTTCTCCTCTCGATAATTACGTACTATAGATAATTCCGTAAGTTTTCTCTTCAAGATATTATCACGCATTTCACTCAGGCATTCCGCATCATATAAATTTCCCAGAAGCACACGACCGTTTTCGCGGTCTTTGTCGCTCGTCAGGTACGTCGAGTAATTTATACTACTATACTATACTACTTATTGGAAAAATACTGAAAATCGGCTCCGGCATCGAC